ATAGAAAAACCTTAGCAAAATGTTATTTGCAACGTTATGGCACTCCCCATTTCAACATTACTGAAATTTCGGAATCGTGGTCAAAGTATATTCATAATGATGTCCTATACAACATTAAGAACTACATATTTAACAACATTACAAGTTCTAGAATATCGTTGCAATAACATTGTAATAATGATTTTTTGCTTACTGGGGAATATCGTTGCAATAACATTGTAATAATGATTTTTTGCTTACTGGGCGGCGCCTTGTTGCTTGACATCGATGATCGAACAGGGTAGTGGTGATCCTCTGACTCTGACGCTTCTTTCTTTCTTATACTTGCTTATTTTGGTGACCATAAAGCTATCGCATAACAATATTAACAATACAGATATACGAATAAATCTTTTTTGCCAGTCAACGTCGAATATTAATTTATATTAAATATTATTAAGTATTTTATATTTTATATTAAAAATGCCATATGACAAAATTTGGAATATTAGAAAATTCTTAATATTATAAAAGAGAAAAAATGCAATAAAATGTAATAATTATATAATAATAAATTTAATTTTTTATAAGTTCTAAAGTCTGTCAGCAACTTTTCGGAAATATTACAAATGCAATGTTGTATGTGAAACATTCAAAAATATAACGCGTGCAATTTAAATGTAAATAATAGTTTTATATCACACGTGCGTGGAAAGTGGCCCATTACGCGCGCGCCATCTGTGTGACAAATAGCCAATTCCATACACGAGTCAAAACAATGCGGTAATGTAACATTACCGCACTGTTTTGACTCGTGTATGGAATCGGCCATCCGTCGCACAGATGACGCGCGCGCAATAATGGGCCACTTTCCACGCACTTTGTAATATAAAATAAGGTGTGTAACACGTGCGGGATGAGAATTGGGCACTCGTGCGGGTGATCGCACTCGCCTTCGGCTCGTGCGTCCACTCCGCACTCGTGTCCAATTCTCAACTTCCCGCACTTGTTACACAAATAACTATTATCATGTATCAGAAATGTTTCTAAACCATTGCATCTGCAATATTTCTTCTGCAATATTGTAAAAATTCACTGCCTGCAATTCAATTTTTCATTATCTACGCAATCCTTCAGAAATTTTTCAGAAATATTTTAAATGCAATGTTGCGTTTGATATGTTACAGAAATATTATTTGTGCAATGCAAACGTAATATTACTTTTATAATGTTTCAGAAATATTTCTGAAATATTGCATTTGCTACATTTTTTTGCAATATTACAGACACTTACAAATATTGTAAACAACTTTCTGAAAGATTTCAGAAATATTGTTAATGCAATATTATAAAAAACATGATGCAGGTACATTTCTGAAATATTTCAGATGCATAGTTGCAAATGAAATGTTAACGAAATATTTCTGTATACTATTTTCGAATATTTCAATATTTCAGCAACATAACATACCGAGTGGGGTATAATGTTGCCATAGTTTATTTTGAACTTTTTTTATTATTGGAAGGATTTTACTGGGAAATATAAATACTTTCCAGCAAAAGTAATAATACAGTGCAATAAGAATGGCTCAAAGGTTAACATAAGAAATATGCTAGACATTCAAAAACTAATAAATAAATAAATCAAAGGGAAAGGAGCATCGAGCCGCAACGAGGTGGAAGTGTTATAAAATTCTATATTACAAATTGACAAACGTTTCGGTCCCTTATGGGACCATCTTCAGTTTCAAATAACAATTAGGACTAAAATCGGAAAAAGTTAACATACATACTCTTACACTAAAATTAACGCTACTAAAATTAACGCCACCACGTTGAATCCGAAGTGACCATACTGTAACATATGTGATTTAATTAATTCGGCGAGTTTGTAAAAGGAATAATGATCAAAAATAAGAATACGTACATCTGAGATTGTGTCTTTCTGTTGTGAATCATTTTGCAGGATCGACATTTTAGTGCTGATGTGTTAAAGTTAATGAACTCACAAAATACTCGGCGGCGAGAGAACGAACCGTATATATATATATATATATATATATATATATATATATATATATATATACAAAAAAGGGGAGAAGGAACGGGAGGGAAAGAAGGAAGGAAGGGGAAGCACGAAGTTACTAAGGTGGGAACAGATTAAGAACAGAAAGATAGTCCACTGAGAGAGATTCCGTAACTTTCTGCTTGTTTAACGGAGATGACTGTCGTTTAATATGTACCATCTCGGAAATTAACCTCTTACAGAGAGATGGCTCAATGTCCAGAATCTCTACATCGTCCCAATCAAACTCATGGTCAGTTTGTAACCGATGGCACGAGATGACAGAAGGGGAACCCGAATTTTTATTGATATCTAATCTATGTTCCTACTCTAGTTTTCAATTGCCTTTTGGTTTGTCCCACATAAGTTACCTTGCAATCTTTACAGGGAATTTTGTATACAATGTTACTATGGGTAAATTTATCAAGATTATCCTTTTCTGTTTTAATAAATTTTTTAAGAGGGTGCGCGACGGAGAAGGCCATCTCAAGATATAGATCTTTTGCGATATTTTTGAATTTATCTGACGTGTATTTTACGTAGAGGACAGTGAAATATTTATTGCCACTAGATTCAAATGAAGTGTCCTCCTTCTTCTTTTTACAAAGAAAAACTTGCCTTAATCTGTTTTTTATGGTCAAAAAATAAAAGGTAACGGGTAACCATTCTCTAAGAGCACCTGAATAATTAAATTAAAGTTTTTGCTGTGAAACTGTGGATGTGAAACCGAGACAATCTTGTCAATTAGGCCATATATCACGCCCCTTTTATGGGAAATTGGATAGTGTGAGTGGTAATTGAGGTATCTCCCAAAGAAGGTGGGGTTATGGTACCAATCAAAAATAAATTTTCCATCTCTCACTGTTTCCGCGTTTTATGATTGCTGGATCATCGTGGAAAGGATGTACTCTTCGGAGGGTCGAGAGACACTCAAACAATATACAGACACTTTACAGGACACTTTATTACGTATCTATTTACAGTCTTAGTTTAATTATTGCCTTTACAGTTTGCGGTAACGAGATTTGTGATCTGCGCGTATGACTTTATTTCGATCGCTCCTTTGTCAAACTGACTTTCGGTCGGGCAAGGACATCAAAACAATATGTTTACGTTCCAATACATAAACAGGTGTGTCGGTGAGAGGTCGGGGAGTACCAAGAGTGGGATGTCACAGAGCGCTTCCAAATACTTCTAGAATCGTGTATATTTCTCGAAGCGTTTAGAATATTTCTAGAATTGGTTAAACCGGGCAAATCAATCAGGGGTGCATTCTGTAACATTCCACCCGCCTCGTTCTGTTGTCCTGAACGACGAATACATTTGGTTAAACATTGTAACTGTAGAGTGATACCGACTTTCCCGTTAATAATCACTATGCCCATCAGGGCGGCTTAACGCTTAGGAGGTTCGTCATTATCGGATTCAACGGGCAGTTTACAAAGTTGCGTTACAGGTCGCTTGAGGGTAGATCTGGCCGTCTTGATGGTCAAAACGCGTACTAAATCGTCATCTCCGGTATGGCATTGGAGTACTCGACCAATATCTCATTTAGTTGGCGGGAGACTAGGATTGCGTAATAGCACCAGGTCACCGATCTTGAGATTGATTTGACAAGTTTGCCATTTTTTCCGTTGCTGCAGAGAATTTAAATAATCCGATGACCAGATCTTCCAAAAGCGTTCCTGTAGTCGTTGCACCGTCTGCTATCGAGATGGTCTATTGAGATTTATATCCCCAACGCTAGGGGAGGGAACCGCCTTTAGGTACGATCCGACCAGGGTATGGACAGGACACTCTCCTATATCAAAATCAAACTGTATTTCTGCGCCATCTAGGCGAATAGACGGATTTTTTGGAACTAAAATCTAGA